TCGCTGAGATGTTCTAACACGTCTTTCCATGCCAAGTCTGGTGATGAAAAGCAGAGCAGAGGCTGCGTGCTAAAAATGTAAATAAAAAGTTGTCATTTTAACACATGCATCACCACGTATCCTCTATTATGACCTCTTAATTTTTTGCTTATACGTGGACTCTAATCCAGACCCACCTTCAATAATTGTCATATGGCTAAATGTGTTTCTGCCACGGTCATACTAATCTTACATGTACATTTCCGCGCGGTACCGTTCACACGGATTTTCGGGTGACCCCCTCTTGCCATAATTCCAATTATTGAACAAAGCAAAAATATTAATTATTTAATGTAGGTTTATTTTCCTCTTTGGATTATAAATGTCAACACCAGAAACTAAGAGAGACCGGTTGTTAGGCAGGCCTCATAAAGGATAGTTCTGCTCTGGCGTTGATGCTGCTTGTTAAATAACTTACGATGGTTTTAAAACCTAAGATGGAAATTAACCTTTATATTGGCCTCTCTCCGAACTCTTTCGTTTAAATGGTAGCAACAGAAGTAGAAAAACACATAATTCAAATTTCAATGATGGCTGAATGTTAAGCAGACGAAATATCGGAGGGTAAATTTTCATTTTCACATTTCAAGTTCCATGTATATATTGGGGTTTAAAGGTGCATATTAAGCGAGTAGTTATGTCAAATCATTGTCANGCGTATAAAAAGAAAAAGAAGTGCTGTCAGAATGAATTTTGTGTGACTCTTCTGATGTCATCTTTTTATGAAGAAACAGAAGGGCAAAAGATGTACAGGCTTTTGACAGAACTCAAGACTTACTGACTCAAAGGGAGCAAGTTGTGCAAACTGATTCAACTGTTTCTTCATTTCATCTTATTGTTCCAAAGTCAATATCACATCATGGTATTGGTCTTTTTTTTCTCGCAAGACCATCATAATGATCTGAAAAACAAACACCTCATTTTATGACCGGTCCTTCAGGAGAACCCAGTTGTTTTGCTTTAATAATTTGGGTTCTAGCCACCCTGTACCACAGATTGATTTTTCACAAGATATTCAAAGATTTGATTTGTCTTTGGCTAATTCATGACAGTTCTCTGCTGTGATACAGCCAATGTGTACATATGTCATTAGCAGAGACATATCTGTGAATATCTAGTGGCACTTGGTACTGGGGAGGTCCTAAGGTGCACTGTCTTATTGTAATGGATATTCAGACACAAGTGAGATATCAGCTGAAAAAAAAAAACTTACTTGTGCTGCACTTGCTAACTGTAATGGAACTTCAGTCACAAGTGACATAGTGACAGATGACGTTTTACGTTAATTGTCTAGTACATCATGTAAGGATGCTGAAGTACACAACTTGTGATAAATGTTGAACGTGTAATGTATATGGTAAATTCAAGAAAGGAGACCGAACTTGACATATTTATTTACAGATAGGATAAATGGTGCATCACCATGCCATTTGTTTACTTAGATTTAGAATTCGAAAGAGAGTATGATTGTGAAAATGTGTGCAGTTCTGTATGGCGGTGAACCTTTAAAAAATTAAATTGGACGTAAGTTTCTGATTTGGATGGCGATTTTAATACCTTTCTGATGTCAGTATCTGTTTCAACGTGGCAGCTGTTCACTCAGAACAACAAAAACGTGCTCTTGAATAATTTTAACAGGCCCCAGTAATGAGGGTACAAGTGATCTAACTTTTAGATATTAAAAAGTACACATTTAAGTGCTTTGGCATATATACAATACCTATGTAGGCCATATTATACAAAGCTGTAATGAAACTTTGGTTTCATTCAGATATCTCTGACTCGGCTACTTTTATCCTACAACGGAAGTTGTTGGTAAAATTGAGCCAACAAACAGCGACTGTCTGAAAGTGTTTAACCACATTTCAGTATATTTTAATGTTAAATGTTCAACTCCAAAACCGAACTTCAAGAAATAATACTACGGATATGTGAGATGTGTTTTGTTTTTCATTATGTATTTTTTAATTCTTAAAAATAAATATCCTATAAGTACACTTACAGAATGTCAATTCTCAGTTGATAACATGTTTTCTTCGCTGAGATGTTCTAACACGTCTTTCCATGCCAAGCCTGGTGATGAAAAGCAGAGCAGAGGCTGCGTGCTGGAAATGTAAATAAAGAGTTGTCATTTTAACACATGCATCACCACGTATCCTCTATTATGACCTCTTAATTTTTTTGCTTATACGTGGACTCTAATCCAGCCCCACCTTCAATAATTGTCATATGGCTAAATGTGTTTCTGCCACGGTCCTACTAACCTTACACTTCCGCGCGGTACCGTTCACACGGATTTTCGGGTGACCCCCTCTTGCTATAATTCCAATTATTGAACAAAGCAGAAATATTAATTATTTAATGTAGATTTATTTTCCTCTTTGGATTATAAATGTCAACACCAGAAACTAAGAGAGACCGGTTGTTAGGCAGGCCTCATAAAGGATAGTTCTGCTCTGGCGTTGATGCTGCTTGTTAAATAACTTACGATGGTTTTAAAACCTAAGATGGAAATTAACCTTTATATTGGCCTCTCTCCGAACTCTTTCGTTTAAATGGTAGCAACAGAAGTAGAAAAACACATAATTCAAATTTCAATGATGGCTGAATGATAAGAAGACGAAATATCGGAGGGTAAATTTTCATTTTCACATTTCAAGTTCCATGTATATATTGGGGTTTAAAGGTGCATATTAAGCGAGTAGTTATGTCAAATCATTGTCATAAACCCGACTAAATGCCAACGTAAAATTTCAAATCGCAGATTTCAAATCACAGAAATATATGTCATTACCCCCCCCCCCCCCCCCCAAAAAAAAAAAAAAAATCTGTGTACTTTGCTAGCTTTACTGTCTGGAGGGAGAAGACGATCAAATTTGCAACAGAAATTTGAAGAAGGTGCAATTTTAAAACATTTTTCGGCTAACCGAGTCATTTATTTATTTTATTTTATTATTTGCCTTTGTTATGTGGCTTTTATTTGGGTTGTGTAAGAAAGTGTGCAGTAAACTATTCGTATTTCCCAGAAAACGGTTATTGAAAATAAGACGAAAGTTATGACAGACTTGTTAAGCACTAGTTGACGATTTAAACATTTAGACAAAAAGATGCTTCTACCGAAAAAAAAAAAACAAACACTTGTCTACAACACGACAAATTTGCGTAAGATTCCAAGGTCGACTTAAATAAAAAATTCCATTTTATTGTGGGCCCTGGAGTATATTTCTGTATACTTTTATCTTGCAAAGAATTATGTGACAATCTGAAAAATAAACTCCGTGCGCAAAATACAGCGGCATAAAGGGGGCGCATTTTTTTACTTTCAAAATAGTAGCAATAGTTTGTTCGACCTCGGGTAGGTATGTGTCAATAATAGGTAAAGTGCTTTTTTTCGGTATAATTCGTGTCACAGTCTGGTAAACGGCACGTTTAACAGACCACATTCAGCTTGCTGTGCTGAACTATCAGAAATGTTGGTCTTAACCGTTTTCACAGCGTTTGCTACCACCGTCATTGGCTCTCCCAGTTTTGCTGACTTTACCCATCACGTGGTTTTAAAGGATGGCGTCTACTTTTTATCCTGGAAATTCGACAATGAAACCATCACGTTCGAGACCCAGGTTCGAACCACAGGCTATGTAGGACTAGGATTCTCTCCCAATGGGGGTATGACAGGGGCGGATATCGTTATCGGATGGGTGAAGGACGGAGCAGCTTATTTAAAGGTAATATAAGAGGCATTTGGGTGCTGGTTTATTTTTCACTTAGATCATGTCTTTAGTGTGTCCAGATTGACTTTAATCGACCACAATTAAGTCTTGATTTGCGGACAAGGATTCAGCGTTGTTCTACCCTCTACCAGGGCTGCATATTATATTACGTGGCCTTATTCTCTAACGCGACCCTGCGAGCAGCGTTGTTCAGTGCCTTGGTGTTTTTAATGTGCGGAAAGGATTCTCGAAATATTTCGTACAAAAAATTCCTATGCCTTCACACTTATTTTTTGTGTACTAATTCATTTATCTATTTTTCCAACGGTGCGAGGTCGATGTCGTCCCATATTTCATCTTAGCTAGTTTGGTTCAGGGGCGCCAAAACGACAACATCAACAACACGCTTCGTGCCTTCTAGTACCAGAGTTCAACGATAATCCCTTACTGCGATCCTTTAATTGGCAAATAGGGGATAATGGTTTTGGGTACTCACCTTTAGAATATAAAAGACAACTTAAGGATTAGTTTGCACTAAAAACGGTCGTGCTTTCAATAGCAAGTCCTATTTTCGATAAGCTCCACAGTGTATTTGTAATCAAAATGTGTATGCGCACATTTATGCGTAAGTCTAAGTTTCACGTACATTTGCTGTAGTAATGTCTAAGACTTACAATATCGCTGTAGGGTATATCGGTAGGGAAAATCTCCATTGTCCATATGAAAATAATAGCAATTGGGGCGATAAAGGCTTTACACTTAAACCTGAAAAAATACGCGAAGCATGACTTTCAGAAAAAAAAGTAGCACCGCCTTATTACTATAAAGAGTCAGAAAACAAGATGAAGAACTTTCACAAGTTGTAAATTTTGTTTGCCTTGGTTTTTGCGTCTACATATATATCAACCGACGTTTAATTCCAATGTTAAACTTAAACGATTTTTATCATGATTCATAAATGGCGTTTATACTATTTTTTGCCAAAAAAAAAAAAAAAAAACAAATAAAAAAAAATTCTCTTAAAATAGGAAAAAGTAGGATAATCCCCTAAAATAGGTAAAAATATGAACTTGACGTCCCGTCAGTTTCATTTGCTTTCATAGCTTTGTAAAAAAAAATTTTGTTTTCGTCCACGTTAATTTCATCTTCCAAAATTCTTTGCTATTGCTGCTTATTTCTTTTTACTGTCATACAGACTCTGTTACTTACACTTCAGCTTTCAAGAAAAGAGATCAATGAAAAGAAAGAGAATTGTCTTTTACTTCAGTCATTATTGTTTAAAAGTTCAGTCAATACACTAATTAAGCTAAAACTTTAATACCCGTCTAAATCCAAGCCTATTGATTTATGTGTAATCGGACACTACATCAGTATCTGCAAATACATTTCTAAACATTGCAACAGGGTAAATGTTAGGTCTCAGTTCTGGAGCATTGCTATCATTTAACTCCATTTTGACAACAGTATCTACATCAGATTTCCTTTGTTCATTTGTCCCGTGTGGCATTACCTCATCTTGAAATTCACTTTTTATAGATTGGAGTGAAACCATTGTCCCATGTGGTATGTTCTCTCCTTGAAATTCCTTTCTTATAGTCTGAAGTGAGACTTCTGTGTGAATCATTTCATGTTGTTTGCATTGACTTTTGATGCTATGACTCTTTTCACAATACTTGCATTTAAATGATTTTTCTTCAGTGTGGTTCTTTTCGTGTAGTATACAACTTTGTTTACTACAGAAACTACTTTCACAATACTGGCATTTGAATGGTTTTTCTCCAGTGTGGGTCCTTTCATGTTGTTCACATTTACTTTTGACGCAAAAACTCTTTTCACAATACTTGCATTTAAATGGTTTTTCTCCGGTGTGGTTCATTTCATGTTGTATACAACTTTGTTTGCTACAGAAACTATTTTCACAATACTGGCATTTGAATGGTTTTTCTCCAGTATGGGTCCTTTCATGTTTTATAAAATTTTGCTTACGACCAAAACTCTTTCCACAATACTGACATTTGAATGGTTTTTTTCCAGTGTGGTTCATTTCATGTTGTATACAACTTTGTTTTATGCTGAAACTCTTTTCACAATACTGACATTTGAAGGGTTTTTCTCCAGTGTGGGTCCTTTCATGTCGTATACAACCCCGTTTAACATTAAAACTCTTTTCACAATACTGGCATTGGAATGGTTTTTCTCCAGTGTGGATCATTTCATGCTGCATACAATTTCGTTTACCACTGAAACTCTTTTCACAATACTGGCATTTAAATGGTTTTTCTCCGGTGTGAGTCTTTTCATGTGCTATACAACCCTGTTTAATTTTAAAACACTTTTCACAATACTGGCATTTGAATGGTTTTTCTCCAGAGTGAGTCCTTTCATGTTGTTTACATTTACTTTTGACACTATAACTTTTCTCACAATACTGGCATTTAAATGGTTTTTCAACAGTGTGGATCATTTCATGTTGCATACAGTTTGGTTTACCACTAAAACTTTTGTCACAATACTGGCATTTAAATGGTTTTTCTCCAGTGTGAATCCTTTCATGTTGTTTATATTTACTTTGGCGGGTAAAACTCTTTCCACAATACTGGCATTTGAATGGTTTTTCTCCAGTGTGGTTCATTTCATGTTGTATGCAACTCCATTTAACAGTGAATTTCTTTTCACAATACTGGCATTTGAAGGGTTTCTCTCCAGTGTGGGTCCTTTCATGTTGTATACAACTAGGTCTGACAATAAATCTCTTTTCACAATACTGGCATTTGAAAGGTTTTTCTCCAGTGTGGATCCTTTCATGATGTATACAGCTCTTTTTAACACTAAAACTCTTTTCACAATACTGGCATTTGAAAGGTTTTTCTCCAGTGTGGATCCTTTCATGATGTATACAGCTCTTTTTAACACTAAAACTCTTTTCACAATACTGGCATTTGAATGGCTTTTCTCCAGTGTGAGCCATTTTGTTCCTTTTTACAACACAACTCATGGACGGTCACTTCCCTCCTGTCATTTCTTAAGTAGTTGTTTCTGTTATTTAATCTCCTTTCACATGATCTGTATTTGTATTGTTGCTCTCCACTTAGTTTATATCATTTTTCATGGTTTCTGCAGGTATATGTTATATATGGCAGGTGTCAGTCTTCTTGCTCCTTGTTGAGAACAGTAACTGCTGGAGCCTGGAAATCTTGTGACAAGTACAAAACCAACCTCTGTTCTCAAAGTAATGTTCAGGTATGCATTCAACTAATAGCCAATCCTTCACCAGTAGCACCTCCAATACTTCAGGTGTTTATTTTAGTTACTTACATCTTGAATTCCTAGTTTTGACTATTATGATTCCACATTTACTTGAGTCCATAAATAACCCACTATGGTGTTCTATATTGTTCAGCTAAATGAAAAACAAAGTCTTTAAAGTCAATGTGCCTTCTCTCTTGAACATCAGATAGGTACACCCGATAAATGAAGATAAAGAATTTGCCGAACGATACCCGACATTTGAACGCAGCGATGAATGGCACTTAGAGCTATATGAATACCAGACTTCTATGAGTTTATTAATTTCAACTGTTTAGAATGGACTGTGCGTACAGATTTCCATGCAGGGCGTCACGCACTCAGTCTACAACGGTCGTGACGACGTGGAACAACTTCTTGAAGGCGAGGTGCAGTTAACGTGAACGTAGAGTTGCAATCTCACGAGCGACCAGATTTCGCTCTAAACATCTTTCAGCAAAGTTCCGTGATGCTATCTGAGCCTTTCCGCTTATAACTGCAAACAGCAGCCTGGATAACTAGAAGTAAACATCAGCTAAAAGCTACAAGATTCGTATCAGTGAAAAGGGTAATACGCTCTTGTACGATACTATTAGTCTAATAGCTTCCAGGACAAGCCGCATTGCAATTCATCAACGGAGTGTTTGAGATTAGCTTTACCGTCAACAGGTTAAAGAATGTGCTTTCTTAGAATTCACTAGTAGATCTTAAATCTAATATATTATGTAATATCAAAAATATTGTCAATAATATTTAGACGAATTAAAAATAAACTCCCTTTTTCCAATGGACTCCGAAATAAATGATCGAACGAACCGCCCTTTTTTGCAGGAAAAAAACGGTCGGCTCTTAGTAAATTTTTCTAAGTAGACGAAGGTTTCGTGCGGAAAAAAGACCCTCATTTTGAAATTGCTGAACGTGCCTGAAATGGATTGTCATCCTGAAATGGATTGTCATACCTGAAATGGGTTGTCAGCTGTTGAGACTTAAAAGTTGTTTGTACCTCTCATGTTCCAAATCTCTCGATCTCCCTTCACTCTCAGGAGACTCGATTATAATGCTCAAGTGCGAAGAGAACACGTACTAACCGCGGGAGCAAACAAATAGGCTTAGAATACAGGTGCAGTGTTGCGCAAAGCTTGGGCATAATAACTTTTTCCATGCGCAAAGGAACATTTACGTCAGTCTATTGTTTACTCAGTCGGGAATTCGAAGGGATTACAAAAGAACTAAATCCAAAATTTAAAACCAAACTTAATTTGTAGTCTACCCTGACCTTAGACTATATAGATCAGTAGCAGTCAGTTTTCTGACAATAAAGACGTGTCTCATGTGTCATACAACTGTACCAATACTAGCTTGGGGGGGAAGGGGTGGGTGGGGGACGGGCAAGTTCACGAACTTCGAAGGAAGTTGGCCCCCCTTCAATTTATGAAATTTATGTACGACGTACAAAATTTATTACGTGCCCTTGTAACTTGACCAAACTCCACCTGGCAAAGAAAGGGTCGGTCGTAAAATCCCTTTTATTCAACTTAATACATGCATTTGGAGAACTCAGTGTCTTTTTTTCCCATCTGAAGCTATCCACCATAATTGCACGTTTTCAAAAGAATCATCACTAATATCGAACAAATTTTGACAGTATTGACGTATACATATGCAAGTACACATACACAATTTTTTTCCAAAAATGCTCAGGACCGATATGCCACTGCGACCCAAGAGCCATCTGTCGACGAAAGCCAAGACGTGGAACTAATCTCCGGCAGTGAGAACGGCACTTTTACGACTTTACGTTTTAGACGTAAACTGGTCACGTGCGATATTAAGGACAACGAGATAACAGTGAGTAATAGTAATATGAATACTTGACGAGAGAGAGAGACTCAGAAAACAAACAAAAGCGTACAGAAAATTTGCCAAAACACAAATCAAAGGGGTAATTCTTCTTCAAAAATAAATTGAACTCCGGTGGATATGAAATTTTAATAAAGAGTTGGGTCTGGCATTTTTCTTCTTCTTGAAAACCACTGCGATAAAATCTATTTTGTTTTGTAACAAGAATGGCGGACCCCCACCCTAGTTCTACGTATCTGTGCGAAAAATGGCAGATTTAGGGAGGGCAAGGGGCGACAAAAATGTTTTTCATTCTTTTCGACATCCGAATTCCGCCAGTGTAAAATATCATATTGCCCTTCGCCCTTTGACGTATGTTATATGATTTTTATTTTCATGTTTAGCAAAATACCATGCGCGTCATATGGGCTTACCACGATTCAGACCCAGTGACTGTGACGAATCTTCTGTATCATGGGAACGTGAACCGTGGAGCGAAGAGCATGTTTCTTCTGGAGCCGGCTGATAACCGAGTGAAAACCGTCACCATACCGAGCGATGCGTATACCATGGAATTTGTACACAATAAGGTAAATCAGTTTTATGAGTAATGATAGCTCGTGCCTTCAGTTGAAACCATCGTTAATTACCCCCTAGCTGCCGTGTCAGACATTTAAGCTGATTCCTTTGATTGTACTTAGAGAGAATCCCCCGCACAGTTGAACCGATCCAGCTAGTGCAATGGGTCAATCTGAATGGCACCTATAGATCAACACGATCGAACGTTTTTTTTACCAATATGACGTACTTAACTTTCAGGTCCGTGTACCATCAACTTCTGACACTACATATTGGTGTTCAGGCTTCACGCTGCCCAGTTTTCCTGAGGTCCATCACATGATCAAGGTACGTAGCCGTTCTTCATGACGGGAAAGCTAAATATATAAAAGAATATACCGACGTCGTTTTTCTTCGGACGTTTTAGTGCATTTCTCTTGTACTGCAGGTCTTTTAATCGATTTGACTTATGCAAATTAGATATACATTTGTGATTTAACCAAAAAAAAAAAAAAAACACGATACAAGATCTTACTTATTTAGACTCTAAATGATTTAAAAACGTCTCGGTACCGCTTGGATTCTTCCAGTATTTTCGTATCAATTGCATCCTAAAGCAATTTATGTAGGTATTGTAAGCGTAATAAAAACATAATAATACATATATCAATGGTGGGGACGTTTTATTACACGTGCGAACACTTACGAATTACACGTACATGATGGCGAAACCAATGTGTCAAGACCCAATCCCGCCAATATTTTGAGAGTATACATTGCTCACGTTCTAGGGAGAGCCAATAGTTCCAGTCGGCCACGAAGCTCTCGTACACCACATCGTAGTGTACGCCTGCAGCCATCAGTTTAACTTCACCCAGTACGCCAATTACAGTGAACCATGTGACCTTCAGGCCAATATGCCTCCAGATCTCAAGTTGTGTGTCCTGCTGTTGATGGCGTGGGCAGTAGGAGGAGAGGTCAGTACCTATGCAGAATATCTATATCCGTTGCAGGTTATTGCAATTTTAAAATCATCGTCTTTTTTACCTAAAGGCGTCCGCCAAGAAGGATATACAGTGTACTTTTATTTCTGTTAGTTTATTCGTCGACAGCTTAACTCAAAAAGTTAGACCTATAGTTATTTTGATAAAATTTTAGGAAAGGTCAGCTACAGTCCAACTTTTAAGTGATTAGATCTTGGTGACGATCTATTTATTAATAAATGGTTATAATTATTGTTAGATAGATAATTATTTTTCTTGATGGAGGTCTGCTCTGAGTGATTTTATAGTTTCATATTAAATGATCTTTCGTTGACAATGCTTCTTGTGAATGCAATGAATAAGGCAATTGCCAAACCAGTCAACTTATCGATTCATTCAACTTATCTGACATTACAGGCTCAGGTGTATCCAGAAAATGTTGGCTTACCTTTTGGGGGTGAAGGCGATCCCACCTTCCTTTATGTTGAAACTCACTATGACAACCCAGGTCTAAGAAATGGTAAGTTTAGGTGTAACGAGACTTCCGACCAGTCTGCGTTTTAAGTTGTAGGCCTAATAATTGAAGATATGTGGTATGCTGATCTGTTTTCATCATTTTATTAACAAAAACAGACTTGGGATGTTTCAGTATGTTAAAGACCATAAGGTTGTGTGTCATGTATTGTAGTTGTAATTCCCAACTTTCAGTTAAGTTTTATATTTTATGATTTTGTACATGTCAGTCGGATATTTTTTCAGCACCATGAACAAAATACTGAAAACCTTATTGGCAAATTTCAGTTTATTGCATGCAGGTTTGGGGCTATTTCTTGTCCTTGGATAGGATTTGTCTTCATATTGCATGCATTAGTTATCCGGTTTTATTTTTACAGAAATAAAATTTTTGAATCTATGAATGGACTGAGAACCAAAAAAATGTTACAGTCTAGATTCAAAAACATCAAAGTCTTGCCTCTGTTTACATTGAGCGGCTCCCTCGATAATTTAATATCTATTTTATTTCGTTGCATTCAACTAAATTTCATTTTCCTTACAGATTATGTTGATTCATCTGGCGTTCGTTTTACCTTTATTCCACGCCGCCGCCAGTATGACGCAGGAGTTTTGGAAATAGGCGCACTTACCTATAAGAATTATGTCATTCCGCCATACTATGACGAGTTCTATACTTGGGGACAGTGCTCCGGTTGCTTACAAAGCGTACGCAGAAGCAAAATTGATTAATGTAGATGTATACCAATGTTTAGCTACATGTACTACATGTATATTGGGATAGTTTTTCAATATCACCAATAACAGGGAAACAACTTAAGGGATTCATAATCACAACTGAGTAGAATAGCATTCATTTGGATGAGTAGGAGACGCTAGGCCTATAATAGTATAAGTTAATATATACTTCTCGTAAGGCAAATGATGGCAAAATGTAGGCACAATTTGCATAACAAAAACTAAATGTCAATCATTGCTTATCAAAACCCACATACATAAGACCACGCTTTTTATCTTTATTTCGTTCCAGGCTTTAGAAAACGTGCCACAAGGTATAAAAGTGTTTAGTACCTTCCTCCACACACATTTGGCGGGAACTGCCATTTACATGCGTCACTTCCGGAACGGAACAGAACTTCCGTACATTGCATACGACGAAAACTACGATTTCAACTTTCAGGAGTACAGATATTTTACTGAACCCGTAACCGTCCTGTCGGTGCGTTTATATAACATATATTTCAAGAGAGAATTCATGTTTCTAGGTTTATTATCTTACGCTGTTTAGTGTAAGCTAGACGGAAACAAACTCATATCGGCTATGGCCACTTCTTAACCAGAAAATAAGATGAGAGTTTGTGTCAAAAAGCAAAACCTGATCGATGTTGGAGGTGGATTTAAAATAACATGTCCGCGAAAATGCAGGGCAAATTAGGGCCTATAAAACAAACTTTTGGCTTTTTTCTGTAATTTGTTTGAGCAAATGAAATTGTAATGACCTGTACCGTAAAGTACAGTGTATAGTGTGTGTTTAATTTAACATAGACCTAAATGAGAGAACAATGGAAATATCGCCTATCCCAATTGCACTGTACTCTAAATCTATTTGTTTCAGAGCGATGACTTGGTAGCCTACTGTAGATTCAAGAGCAGCGACAGAACCACTGTCACATGGGTAAGGTCCACAAAAACTGCAACAATAGATTGGCAATAGAAAAAAAAACAGAAATGCATTCTGATAATAATTTAGCACAATTTGCAAGGGTCATTAAAATACACCCACCCTTTTGTTGGACATTATAATATAGACAAAGAAAAAACCTTCGGATGATCATAGGTTTGTTATATTAAAGTATGGGCCTCTGCCTGTATAGAATCACTGCAATATAAGCGGAGACCCTTCCGATTCAAAGACTATTCTAAGCCTCATGTACCTGTGAAAAAAGTCGCAATTGAATTTAATTCCGTAATGTTTCACTGACGAAAAACAGCCATTCGACCAGGAAAAGTCCTTTCTGAATTTATTAAATTTGATGTAAGCTCTGTGATATTTCTCTTTTTGGATCAACTTAGGGGGTAAA